TTTAACTCTATATTTATTTGTGGTCCATTAAAATTATAAATTAATAAATATATGTATACATATTTTATATAAGTAAGAACATATCATTATATTGTTTTTTTATATTCACGATGCAATTATCTTTATATTTTCATAACACTTATTATATTTTTGATGAGATTTGGTAATATTATGTCTAAAACCACATTTAGATTCTATGCAATATATATTATATACATAAAATAATAAAATAAAATTGATATAATTATTATTATTTAAAAATAATAATAATTAATTTTTATACAATAAAATAAAATATTTTTCTTATTTAAGAATAAATTTATTTTAAAATAAAAAAAAAACTTAAATAAAGAGGTTCAATCTGGGACAACAAAGTAAGAAAATTTGAAGCTGTCTACAGTTGATCCAAAACCTTACCAGACTTGACTTGCAAGGCAAGGAAGGAGTGGAGAAGCCATATTGGACGTGGATAAAACTCATGAAGTCAAGGCAATTCAGATTGAATGCAACTAGAACAATATGGTTTGAATTAAACAAGAAGTCACATGTGTTGCATAAGAAGAAGGACTGACCTGTCACTATCACACCAAGCTGAGTGTGCCCTCTTCCTCCAGTCACTTTCTTCTCTTCTGGACGTGCCAGACTGTCCACAGCAGCCTGCTCTGATCTCTCTTTCCCCAAAATAATATTTGTTTATGTTACATGTTTTATTCATAGTTTTTTGTGAATTAATATCTCTATAAATTAATAAAATTTCAAAGTCTCAACATTATTAATTTATAGAGGATTTACTGTACCTCAAACGTCTCTTGTTCTTCTCATGTGAAGCTTCATCTAATATTCACACGCTAACTTGGATGTTTTTTGGAATGTATTTTCTTTTTTTCCTCGGAACGCAAACTGCTAATAAGTTTTCCGAGGTTAACAAGCAGTAATTCAGCCACAACTGCATATATAAATCAGCCGCCACAGAAACTAACTCAGGAACAACATAAATAAAAATTCAGCCATAAACTCGAAATTTTTTAAGTAAAACGTCGAAAGATACCGGAGCAGACGATTTCGACGATTGCAGAGAAGACGATTTTGAACGACTGCGGAGAAGAAGATTTCAAAGAAAACGCTTGTGGAGAAGACAGTTGCGGAAAAGATGATTTCAGAGAAGACAATGTCGACTCAAACAGCAGTGAAGATTTAATCGATGAATGAAAAGTTTTTTTAATAGCAGAATTTTTAAGTTACATGTCCTTTAATTGAGATCACAACTATTAGTGACGTGGAAAACTTATTAGTGATGTAGATTTATTAATAATTTAAGTTATTTTTTTTATAAAAATAATCTCAACTAAAAAAACTAACTAAGGATTTTTCTTGCAACTTACTAGAAGCTTACAAATATTTGAGTAATATCTAGAAAACGTATGCTACTCTAGTCATATAATAACTTTTGAAACAATTACACTAAGAGACAATGTATGATTTTTATTAACACAATAGGGCAGTTTCAGCTACCCACACACGTTTGTCTAACTAAATCTCATTTTCATTCAAAAACTAACTAAATAACACTAACAGCTAATACCCATTACCCTAACTAAAATAAAATGGAACCCTATAACCTTCTTGTTCCTCTCTCCCTTTATAGTTTTGAGATATGTTAAGATGTATGGTGGATGGTGGTGTAATGATGACATATTTGACGGCAACATCAACGACAGAGACGTCGACGACTCTCGTCTTTGGACTATCAGACATATCTTCTCGTCACTCTGATTCATTATTCTCAACATCGTTACCTCCCCTATAGCTGTCGCAAGAAGCTCGAGACATCAATGGCCACTTTTGACATTTTTCACCTTTGGTCCTTACAGTTTTGTATAATTTTTAGTCGTGAATATGCCTACTTGAATAAAACCCCTAACTTCTTGATTGATCATTCAGTCCATCTATATAATTTCACAACTGATCCTTGATTATTGTTATTTCTTTTATTTTCGCTCCAAACATTCAAAATAAACAATTATTCTTTGACATCCCCAAATTAATCAATTGTTTTATATAATCTTTATTAATGCAATTAAACACATATATGCATATGAGATATCTAAAAATATTCCAAAGTGAACTGAATGAATTAAAATCAAATTGTAAAAATTATTTTAATTATTAGATAGAAATAACACACATAACCATCATGTGTACATTTGTTTTTATATAAGCCATCTTATGTCTGACTTTTCATCTTTTTTTTTTCTTTTTTTTTTGCTTTGAAATATTGTGTATGTATGAATGCTTTGTACATTTGTGATATCATATTTGCTTTAAAACAAAAGATGTGTGTACATTACATTTAAATTGTACATGTGTACACCTAATTTTGTATTATACATCAAAATGATTGTGTACACATTTTGGTTTTTTTGTAGGTTTTCTATATAAATAAGTAAGTCTCTGTGACTTCATGAACTCTTGATGATGTTAACACAATATATATGTGAATTTGTTTCCTTCTTCCCATGTACACGCATGGTCGAGACATCTTTGAAATCTGACTAAACCCAAATATCATCCTTCACACCTTGTTTAAGAGATTCTGATTAGTGTGTATGCTTTCATGGTAGTTCTTAGGTAGATTAAACTCTGATTGTCTTATATATATACACTATCATATTTGTCGTACACATGTACACCTCCTTACACACAGAGTGAAGATGACTATGATAGAAAATGAACAATTCAAGAAATTAGGGAGTTAATGCTAGTAGACATCTTCCAATTAAAAGTTTGGGATCAAAACACAATTATGTGAATTCTAAAGGACCAAAAGAGCATAAACATAAAAATAGCCATTGGTGCTCTCGAACTTGTGAGGAGCCGCGACGGCGAGAAGTGACACCATGATGTCGGCAAGGGTGTGAAAGAGTCTGATTCGACACTAGTTCTGTTGGTGTCTACCATTGAATATATTTTTTTCAATTTCGGCTAAAAATAAGCTTTTTTATTTCAGCTAAAATAAATATTTTTCGCAAAATAGATTTATTGTTAAGCTACAAAATAAGATTTATGGTTTACGGCCAAAAATACAATATAGGGCTTTGATTTGTTTTTCACAATGTGTACATGTGACTCATTCCTCAATTCAATGGTGTACATATGAAATATTGTACATATGGATAAAGAATTTTTGTGTACATAGTGTCATATACATATGATATTTATACAAATATTATTAAAATAACATACACAAGAAATGATTTTAAGATATGTATCATCTCATTTACCTCATTTTAATCAATTTTAAGATGCATTTATATATATATATATATATATATATATATATATATATATATATATATATATGCATGCACATTTGGAAGTATGGTACCAAATAAATAGGAATTTATTTAAAAATCATAAACATTTGTGGCAGAAACAAAACAAAACAAATGGCAGGGATCAAATGTTGTAAAATCAAAATATTTTTTGGTCTTGATAACCCAATTAAAAGTCTCAGGTCAAATTTATGGATAAATTTAAATAAATTAGAAATTTGAGATAAATTGGAGAATAAAGAAGAGCTGGAAGACTATATGTGCAAATAATCTAAAATTCTTCATTGTTACTTTAGATAAGCTTTTTCTTCCATCTGCTACCAAATCTGGTGGTGCTCTTTTCGATCTGCGACTACTATGAGGAGAAGACGACTTAACTTTAACACGAATCGATGTAGAGATCTGACGGAATTGAACTGCGGTTTGAGGTTGTCGTCTGCTCCTTCACGTCAGCCATGGCTAACAGAGACATGTTTACTGATCAAGCTTAAGCATGGCTTGAAGATGAATCGAGACGACGATGGTGGATGTAGTTGGAGATCGCGGCAGTGGCTCGAAGTACATCGCACTTATAGATTCCGGCGGTATAAGCAGAGTCACAACGTTATCATGACGGATCTCTCCAACAACTTTCGGCAAAGTCATTAATTGATTATGCTATTGTTTCCACGGATATAGAAGATAGAAGAGAAGATGAAACTCTGAGTGGACCCACTTAGTTATGTAAATTATACTTTACTTAGAAAATAAGAGAACAAGTTAAAAGAAGAGTAAAAGTTAGAAAATAAAAGTGTCTAAGAAGTGATAACTACCTTTGAGGCAGTGTTTTGAAACCCGACCTGAACCCGCGGTTGAACCGGAAAACTCAGTGTCCCAAAATAAATCTGGTTAGGGTTTTGTTAAAAACCCGCAAAACCCCGTAAACCCCCACTAAAATTCAAAACCCGATACCGGTTGAACCAATAAATAAATTTTTACTTTTTTAGTTTTAAATTATGATTTATTCTGTTTTATATTCTAAATTTCTAATTTAAAAATTAGGTTTTCACGTTTTAGTTATTGGTATTGTCATCTTCTTCTTTCTCTACTCACTTTTACGACTCTATATATCTTTCTTCTTCTTCTTTTTTTTTTGGTTTTTGATTGTTTTGTTTATTATAAATCTGTCATACTACATGTTCTAAATTCTACTATATACGATTTCCATTCTTTGCGGATTCATGAATGATTGTTTTATCTTTTGGTGTTAGTTTATTTTTGTTATTGACAATTTATTACAATGTTGATGTTTTACTTTTGGTTTATTTTGGATTTAAAGTTTAATTTATTATATTTTGTTATAAAAAAAAAGTCTAAACTAGTTACGATATTTTGTATATTTATACATTTTATTTTTTAAAAACATTTAGAAATATTTAACTTTAGTTTCTTTATTTTTATTTTCATAGTTAATATATTATTGTATAATAAATTTTCATTTATTAACCCGCGGTCCACCCGCCGTCGACCCAGTGACGCAATGACCCGGTAAGTCATCCGGTTCAGTGTCCGGGTTGGGTTTAAAAACATTGTTTTGAGGGTAATCAAAAACTTAAAATTGTTCTAGAGTGATATAACTCATAACTTTTTATACTATTTAAGTAATTTTCTCTTCTTTTTTTTCTTTTTCTAAGATGAACATGTTTTAGTAAGTGTGACTCGAAGACCGTGTTTCATACGAAGAATAGGACCAGTAGCTGGTTCGATCTTTTGGCCTTTGACAGCTTGAATATCAAAGTTTTGCAATATTTCCACGACCACTGTCTTCATTAGATTCATAGCTAAATGCTTACCCAGGCAAGATCTTGGTCCCCCGAAAAACGCAAAGAACTTGTACGAAGGCTCTTCTATAAACGCTCCTGTCTTTGAAACCCATCTCTCAGGCTTGAATTCCAATGCATCTTGTCCCCATACTGCTTCCATCCTCCCTAACGCGTAAAGAAAGATTAAAACCTTCATACTTGCATCAACTTTATGCCCACTTGGTAGCAAATCTGGTCTTACGGGAGTCATGCGCTCAAATGGAACAGGTGGGTAAAGTCTCATTGCTTCATACAAGGCGCTACGTAAATAGTCCAGTTTGTTCAAGCACTCAATGATATCATCATAATGCGGTCTCTCTTGGCCATTTGTTCTTTGTAGGTTTGTGTTGATCTCTTGGCGAATCTTAGTGACAACTTGAGGGTTTTCTGACAAAAGCCAAAAGAACCAAGTGAGAGCAGAAGCAGTGGCATCTCTCCCGGCTAGAATGAAAGACAACATGGTGTCTCTGAGAAACTTATCATCATTCGGGTTCAAGAGATTGTACTTGGTTGCATCTAACTTCATGTGTGATGTCAAAAGATCCGCAGCTTCATGATTTGAATTTTGCGTAATCTCTTCTCTCTTAGCTGATATAAACTGTTCACACATTCTTGTTAAGGTGGCGTCAGCTTTGGACAGCTTCTTCTCTTGTCCGAACCCAACCCATCTTTGCAACTTCCACAGGAACCTTGGTTTAACATGTCTATACATAATCCCTTCTCCAACATCGTTAAGAGCTTTAGCGAATTCATCAGCCTCTGGCATTTCAACGCAGAGAGATCTAGGATCGGTAGACCCAGTTACCGTCACTAAGGTTGTGTCAAATGTGAACCTCACGAACACATCCTGCAAGTCCACGACCGCTCCTTCCTCTGCTAAATGATTAAAAAGAGGAATGAACCCCTCCTTGATTTTTCTTCTCGTGGTACTCATTAACAATCTTCGAAACTCTTGGTGACTGAACATGACTTTAGAAGCTTTCCTCAGATTCTTCCATAGCTCCGAGTCCGTGGTGAGTATCCCGTCTCCAAGAACATCAAATACTTCTTTGAAGTCGGGACCTTTGGTATAGTTGGAGAAGTTTGAGCTCACGATATGATGAATATTTGCTTGATCAACCGTGAACAACATATCCATTCCAGAATACCATGGGCCCTTGAATGTAAACGTCAAGTTTGAACTCCTGAGAATCTCCACGCTAAAATCATAGATACGATGGAACTCAACGAGCAGACCCGGAAGCATCCCTAGAACTGGCCAGTTTCTAAGCAAGATATCATGAGGTTTTTTGAAGAGTAAGACACAAAGTATGATAAAACAAAAGATGGCTGTGAAAGCTTCAGAAAACATTATTGAAGCCATTGATAACTTAAAGTTTGATTCAATGTAATAAGGTAAGATGGTTTCTCTTAGCGGACATGATACTTGATTCATATATGCGCACACTATATATAAAGCACAATGAATGCATCAACGTCGATGACGATGCTGATTACTCACCACATATAGGTTTGGAAAAAATATTGTGGATATTAAAGTATGTGATTAATGAGTTAGCTAGAATGGTAGATAATACTCATTACTCCTATAATTAGCACGTTCTCATCGTGTATTCTATAGTCCTATGTTAACACATGACAAATCCTCATCCCCTTTGGTAAAAATACAACTTCTTACCAGATTTAGACAACCTTTATGTCCAAAAAACATTTGAAAAACAAACAGTCAGTAAAAACACTGTTATCAAAAAACAATATAGAAACCTCACCATTAGTGAGACTATCTCACTGAATACCTACCAATCAAAGTAACGAAAAGATTTGAAATAGTGATACGAAGGAGAATGATAATTTGTTAGAGTCGGTTGTTATTAAGATACTGCAAAGGAAATGCGAAGAGACTATTCTACACCTGTAAACCCCACAATAAATTAAGTCAAAACAAATAAAAAATTAATATTAAATATGAAAACCCGAGTGTAGTTCTTCATTGCACATGCTCTTAGGACAATATTAGTGAAAGTCTCTCCGAGAATCTCTCACCTAATAAACAAGAATCTCTCACCTAATAAACAACTAGAAATAGGGAGAAAAAAAGAAAACCAGAACATAATCAGAAGAGAGAGGTGAGGAATGTATGTTAATAGATGTGAAACGTTACCTACTTGTAGAGACCCATTTAATACAAATCTTTCCTTTATTGGTTTAAAAAATAAAACAAAAGTAAAGAACTAAGAAAAGAACTTTAAATAATTTTGTAACATCTGTAACCTTTTATCTAGAGGATAGCATGTCATTCCCGACGCATCATCATACAAAATCGTGACACCCGTCTCCCTCTCTCTAAAAGCGACGGACCACCAAAACATATCTCGTAACATAAATGTTCATAAGCCCAACTACACTCGTCCGAACTCAAACAAAAATTTGAATAAAAAGCCTAATAGCACCAAGCCTAATAGCACCAAGTCCGTCTCACCTGAAATGGAGAAAAAAAGAGGGGTGAGCGACTAAAAAGTCCCTTAATGCTATCCTCGGAGTACATGGACCCGAACATAACACTCCAAATAAACATAATTTAATCCAAACATGTTACAAGCATGGCACCTAAGGTACCCAAGAAACAATCACAGTCACAGCATATAAATATATACATAGTCGCTGCTCGCTAATGGACCAACCGCCGAGATAGTGCCCGGTATCATTCTGGTAGAAGTCTCCCTCTACAGGATTCACGTATGGAATTAGTGACCATACACACCACCCGTGGATGATTTATCGATCTCGAGGCATACGACGTGGATCGAAATAAAGCCCCGCCCCAACTTTAGCGTGCAAGTACAAACCTCTGCCCCGCTAGTCATAGGCCAGACTCCAAGTATGCCTCTCAAAAACAGTATTTTTTTTTTATATATATATATTTCTTATATATATTTACATCAATTTAGGTTATGCAAGCAATGTTAATCATTTGACTCCCTATTCTGGTTTAAGAAAATAACCTAAATAACTATCAAACAGACTCTAAGGAAACATTCAACAGACTCGATTTCACAGAGACGGAAACATAGTACTCAAGTATGCATATTTGAAGTCTTAAGTCAAGTACGAGAAGTTTAGGAATAGACCCTCACCTTAGCAATGAGGAAATGTGGTATCTATGAACTCTAGCTACTCAAATAGGTCCCAAGTCTGAAATCGAATCAAAATTTTGAGTCAGGATGCTCTTCGAACGGTCAAAACGGGTGTCTACGGAAAAGTCAACCCGCTGGTCAAAGGTTAACTCTGACCCAAGCCGGTCAATCTTTGACCAAATTGAAATCGAATTGAACCAACTAGTTTTCCTTAACCGGGTTTGATTTCAATTATACCAGATTCAAATCAAATGCAACCCGGTTTAATCCTAACCAAAAACAATTTCTAATAACCAACCGATTTAACCCTAACCGATCTAAATTAATTTGAACCGGCCAAACCACCGGTTTACCGAGTCAACCGAGTTGACTCGCTGAGTTGACTCGACCGACTTGTCTGAGTCACCAGCGGCAACGGCAGAGGCTCACCGGCGACGACGGCGGTCCGGCGGTGGTTTGGCGGCGGAGCAGCGGTGGTATGGGGGTTGTCCGGCGGCGGCGTGAAACGCAAGCGCGGACGGTGCATCTTTGGACGCCGCGTGTGGCTTCGTCCGGGCTTCGATAGAGGCGTGGTCGGTGGCTACGGCTTTGTCTCGATGAGTAGAACACGATGGTGGTATTTCATGTACGAGATTCTCAACTGTTAGGAAGTTATGGGATTTTTACTAAAACGGCCGTGACTTAACTCAAATGCTTGGCGGTTTCCGGGTTACCTTGGCGGTTGCGAATGGTGGTGATGAACTTGAAGATATCTTAGTGTGTGGTGGCTCCGGCGATCTCATGTGGTTCAGCCTCTACCACTACTTCTCTCTCTCTCTCTCTCTCTCTCTCTCTCTCTCTCTCTCTCTCTCTCTCTCTCTCTCTCTCTCTC